TTAATGGAGGCAGGCAGCCTGATGGGGCCCGAAACTGCCACAGGCAGTGGCCGCACCAGGATCACTAACCTGAGTGCTAACAGGGGGTGGAGACCTGAGCAAATTCCAGGCCACTTAAGAAATCAAGAACAAGCCAGGCATGGAGCTCACGCCTGCAGTCCCAGCCACTTGGGAGGCTGAGGCAAGAGGATCACGTGAGCCCAGGAGTTTGTGCTTAGCCTGGGCAATCTAGCCAGACTGTTTCTTAAGATAAGCACAAAACAGAAGGATGAATCTTAAAATCACTACGTTACCCTTTTTAGATCTTGCTTTTTTTTTTTTTTTTTTTTTTGGTGGCGGGGGGTGGTGGGGATCAAACTGGGGACCTTGCCCTTGCCAGGCAGGCAGCTTGGAACCACTGAGCTAAATCCCCGGCCCTATTGCTTTTAATTTAATGCTACCAACTGCTAAAAACAATCAACATTTGTTGTCAAAACATCTTTGAAGTTCTAAGGACAGATTAAAAGGCTGCTACAAAGCATATTAATAACAAAAGGGCTCCTCTCACCCTAAGGCAGCCCCAGCTCTGTGGACAGCCTGCCCACCCCACCCCCCACCCCCAATCAGAGTGGAGAGGCACAGAGCAGTCGGGGACGAGGACACTCCCAGGACCACAGTCTCCAGTAGAAGTGGCTCCTCAGATGCCAACCAGACATCAAAGACAATGTACAAAGTCCCACTCGTCAGAGGGAGCAAGGAGCAAAGAGGGGACTTCCCTGGTGGAAAAGTCTCTCCTTTTACAGACAAAACAGCTAAATTAGGTAGAAATATTCTAGGCAGACAGGGCTGGACCCTTGAAAGAGTCAGTGCAGAGGGTGAGAACACATCACAACTGCAGCTGGAGGCGCATCTGTCAAAGGCCAGGCTCAAAATACAGACAGAATGACCTGGCCCACTTGCCTCACTAAGGATAAGCAATAAACTGAAGATTACACTATAATTGGTATCACCTGGTCCAACAGTCTAGCTAGACATCAGTCAGTCACCCAGGGGATGACCAGAACCTCCTGATCCAGCTCCTCCAAAAAGGTCTTGTTCTTTCATGTACAGCTGCCTCAAGACGTGCTTCCCCCCTTGGATCAGTATTACCTAAGCCGCTATACTTGTAACCTCACTGGTTGATCATAGTTTTGACCCACGTTGTACCCACCTTGCGATTTTGCTCTATAAAACTTCAGAAAGTGGGCTTGCTGGCAACCCACTTTCAGGTCCCCTTCTGTCTCTCAGGAGCGCTCTTGCTCTCTCTCAGTAAATTTTTCCTACTCTTAACCTCCGTTGTTCCTTAGAGTTAATCCTTCGATTTCGGGGAACACAACTTCGGCATACCTGACATCCAGCAGGTTGGGAGTGACATTTATTTCCCCTGAACACTTTCATCCTAACACCACAAGCACTCAGAAACACAGGTGTCTCCCACTGAAATGTTAGTGGGATGTGGACACTGTTGGTCCTTGACTACTAGTGATGGGCTGCTAAAGCAGGCAGGCTGCTCCAATTACTACTGAAGAAAGGACCTATGTCAACAGGACCATCTGAGCCTCAAAAGCTGGGCTTTGCAAACAAAAGTCAGCACACACCTGCGGACTGAAATGTTTGCGTTCAGCCAGAGCTCACGGCCCAGGTAAAAGCGCTTTCATATATGCAGTCTGAATAACCCTTGAGTTACTGATTCCCCCTCATGTCCACCAAGACTTTGGCACAGTGCCGGGCGTGGGGGCACAGGCCTGTAATCCCAGCCTTGGGAAGCTGAGGCAGGAAGATTGCCAAGAGATTGAGGCCAGCCTGGACTACATAGCGAGACCCTGTCTCAAAAAATAATAAAGATTGGGGCCGGGGATTTAGCTCAGTGGTTTTGCCTCCTGCTGCGCAAGTGCAAGGACCTGAGTTCGATCCCCGGTGCAAATAAATAAATAAATAATAATAATAAAGACTTACACATCGCGTTAGGACACATGACCCAGGTGATAGGTGTGATGGCATGCTCACAAGAACATCTGCGCTCTCTCCCAGCCCCATGAGGACCGCAAAAGAGAGTCAATATTCCCCAGAAGTAAACAGATTTTCTATTTCCTGATAACAAACCTTGTAAACTAACAATCCCATCATCCCCCATAATCTAAAAAATCTTCCCAAATAATCTTAATCTCCAAACCAAATTTTAAATTACTTAAGGTTTGAGCGAGGCATAGTTGTGCACATCTGTAATCCCAGCACTTGGGAGGCTGAGGCAGGAGGATTGCTTTCAGTTCCAGGCCAGCCTAGGCTACATAGTGAGACCCTGTCTCCAGAAAAAAAAAAAAAAATTAATAATAATAATAATAAATAACATAATTTAAGGTTGAAGACCTAATTGGTGTCCCCCTGAAATCCCAGAACTCTGGGAGACTGAAGAGGACAGGAAATTCAAGCCCAGCCTGGGCAACTGACTTAGGAAGATTCTGTCTCAAAACATAAAAAGGACTGCTAACATCACAAAACTATATATCAATTTCCAATCCCCCTCCATGCATGCTATCAAGAACCTTTGACTAGCCAGGCATTTAGCTCAGTGGTTCCGGCGCTTGCCTCTCAAGCTAGAGGCGGAGGTCCATGGCAGAGCACTCTCCCAACATGGTCATGCTGGGTTTCATTCCTACCACCACCGAAAAATAAAATAGAAAGGAAAGGACCTGGGATTTAGCTCAGTGGTTCTGGCGCCTGCTGCGCAAGCACAAGGTCCCGAGTTCAATCCCCAATAACGAAAAAACAAAAGGAAAGGAAGACAAGACAAGCTTTCAAGCTTAACCTGCAAGGCTCCTCCGGCTCTGGGGCTTAGGAGTGAGGGTAGGGGAAGAGCCAGAAATACTGTTTCTCTTTCTGGACTTGCAAGGGTAGGCAGAGGCAAAGACTCTGTGTTTAATCACCACATGAATAAGAAACAGACTGGAATTCAGGAAAAAGGTCAAGGCTTGCCAGCACGGTCAGCGTTGAGGAGGAGCGTACTGCCCCTGTCTCTTGCAGAGCAGACCGTAGGGTCTGCTGGGACCCCAGCACCCCCACTCCGGGCCACAGTCCTCAGGACACAGCCAGGAGCCAGCTAGACGCCTGCCAGCTTCTGCCTGGAATTGGGTGAAGAGCAGTGGCAACAAGAGCCACTTTGAGAAGGAGATCAACAATCACACTCCAGAAGAAAAGGAGTCATTCGGCAGAGGGATGCGAGCTGCCAAAATGTTAGTCACAGCTTCAAGGTCCGGGTCCGTGTCTCAGCAACTGTTCTTCTGTCTCAGCAACTGTTCTTCGCTCTGACAGAGGTTATTCGCTGCCCCAGAAAACCCAGCTCAGCTTCTGTGGCCCTCGCAACAGAAGCAGTTGAGAAGCCTTCAAGTTGGTGGCAGCAAAGGGTGACACCGACAAGATGTCCACCAGAGACTAAGAGGGAAGGGGGGAACTGTGATTTGCCATTCATTTTCCACACAGGACCAGAATAAGCTGGACAATGGGAAACAGTGACAGGAGAGGAAAATGGAAAATCATTCCGGTAAAGAAACAGGCTATACCAACAGCCTACCTGGGAGCTCTGAGCCTCCATAGTATCACCAAACCCCTTAAAAATGAGCTAAGGTGGAGCCAGGCATGGTGGCACATGTCTCTAATCCCAGCACTCAGGAGACTGAGGCAGGAGGACAGCCAGGAGTTTGAGTTCCAGGCCAGCCTGGGCTACATAGTGAGACCCTGTCTCAGAAAAAAAAAAAAGCCAAGGTGGGCTGGGGGTGGAGCACTTGCCTAGCAAGACCAGGGGTTCCAATCCCTGCGATGAAGAGAAAAAAAACAAGTGCTGTGTACATTAAAATATCGGCCTATTACTGCCCATGATTTTTACCCCAAATAAGTGTACATGCTTTGCAACTCTTCCTGCACTTGCTATGAAGACTGTGGTTTGCTCAAAGGGCCTGAACAAACAGCTGCAAGTTTCAGGATCACTTTAGAGCAATGCAAAGCATACTCTAGTGTACTAGAAAGCCAGTCTGAGAGGCCAAGTCAGAGAGAACACTTGGTAACTTTCTCTGGTCTCCTTCGAACGCATCGGAAAAACCTAAAGCTTCGTTTGCAGCCTCACCTGCATTTCACCTTTGTGCCAACACTACGGAACTAATCAGCACTGTGGGTAAACACCATGAATGGGAACCCTCGCGCCAACAAGTCCACATTGGCACCCAGAAATGCTGAGACTCTCAGGAACGCTGCTTTTAGGTGACAGACTGACCTAGGGACAAGTGTTGAGGGTATCGGGGCTCAGTAAAAACTTAAGAGTCAGGATTTTACTCCTGATGAAGAATTAACAATAAAGCAGCTAAAATCATCCAAAGCACACTGGTCTCCACCAAATGACAAGGCCACAGGCCATGACTGGACCAACCCAACAAGTAAGGCTCAACTGTAAAAAAAGTCTTCAGTGAATTCTCAAGAGTTCACAAAGAAAGTCCCAATCTGTCAAGATTTAAAAACTCAGGTATTATAACCAGGGATTTAGCTCAGTGGTTTTGCTGCCCGCTGCACAAGCGCAAGAACCTGAGTTCAATCCCCGGTACCAAAAAACAAAACAAAACAAAACTCAGGCGAGGGCCAGGGATTTAGCTCAGTGTCACCGTGCCTGCCTCACAAGCCCAAGGTCCTGAGTTTGATCCTCAGTACAGGGGGAAAAAAAAACAAAAAAAACCTCAAGTGGGTAGAAAATAAAACACTAGGGCTGGAGATTTAGCTCAGTGGCACTTCGCCTGCCTGGCAAAAGCAAGGTCCTGAGTTCGATCCCCCGTACCAAAAAAAAAGAAAAGAAAAGAGAAAACACTAGAACCAGGTGTGGCGGCACACACCTGCAATCTCAGCTACTTGGGAGGCTGAAGCAAGAGGATCTCAAGTTCCAGCCCAGCCTGGGCAACTCAGCGAGACCCTGCCTCAATATAAAAAATTTTTTAAATGGGCTCAGAAGGAAGCTCAGTGTGATGGCCCTGGGTTCAATCTCCAGTACTGGAAGAAAAGAAAAGCAGGGGAGGTGGCAGACATCTGTTACATTAACACTCTGAGAGGCTGAGGCAGGAATATGTAAAGTTCAAACTCAGCCTGGGTAATTTAGCGACTTGAGACCCTGTCTGAAAAAAAATTAACTTTTAAAAGGCCGGGGACGTAGCTCAGTGTGAAGGGGCTAGGGTCAATCCCCAGTGCCACCAAGGAAAAGAAAGACAAGGAGAAAAAGCCAGTACACACCAGGTTCTTCCAACTCCTCATCCGATGTTACCTTTTCCGGATTCTCCTTCCAGATCGTGACTGGAGCACACGTTGTGCGCATGTTAAGACTGCACGTTAAGATCCCCACCTCCGCGCACTTCCCTCCATCGAGACCCCTCAACCCTGGGCGCCCCGCGGCGGCGCATCTCAGCATCCCTCAGTCGAACCTCTAACCCGGTTCTGCCTCTCCCGAGAACGTCACCGAAACCGATCTCCAAAATGTCACACTGGCCTCCCCGACCCGAGCATCCTGCTCAGGACTCGCTCCCAACAGGTCCTCCCCGCCCAGTACCTTCCTGCGCAGGTGACCTCGCTGCTCGCCCCTCGTCGCCGTCTCCTGCCCTGGCCCAGCCTTCCCCAAAACCTCGCTCCCCGGTCCACGGGGCGCGCCCGCCGGATACCAGCCCGGACCCCTCTTCCAGCTCGGATTCCCCGCCCCCGCCCACAGGCCCCGCCCACAGGCCCCCTCTCCGCAGGCCCCTCTCCGCAGGCCCCTCCCCCAGCGTCCCCTCTCTACCAGCAGGCCCCGCCCCCAACCCCCTCCCCGCTCTCCCTCCCACTTAGCGCCGCAGATCACCTCAGCGCCGGACCCCAGCCGCCCCAGCCTCCTTCCGACCTGGTCACAGCTGCTCCGGGAGCGAATCCTCCACCACCTCTGCTCTGCTCTCGTCTTATCCCGCTAGCCCCCGGGCGGCCTCTCTTTCTCACCGCCGCCTCCCTTTTTGCCAACCCGGAAATGGATCTGCTCCCACCGTCCCCAGCGTCCGCGAACAAAATGGAGGCGGGGGAAACCGGAGGAGGGAACAGGGGACGAAAAGACGGAAGCCGCACGCGCGCGGGAAGCCCGCCCCCTGGCGGCGCACCTAAAAGCGGAAGCGGCCAGATCTTCCGCCATCTTTGGAAGGTCGCAGGAAGTGGGGTTTGGGGCTTTGGCTGCAATTGGAACCACCTGGGGATCTTTAAATGACTAGGGATGCCAGAGTTCCATCCTCTAGAGACTCTGATTGAATGGGGCCAGTGCAGCGTAGGCGTTGCGACTTTTTAAAATTGCGCAGGTGATTCTAACGTGTCGCCGAGGTGAATAAACACCAGTTTCTTGGATATACTTTTTTTGTCTTTACCCTGACCGCGCTCACACACACCCTGTCCCTTAAGTGTCTCCCAGATCTCGAGGTAAGAATCACGCGTCAGCCAACCCTGCAAGGGCCCAGCCGGCAAACTGTGGTTGTCATAGCAACGGAGAGGCTGGGCCCAGCTACTGCCGTCCTTTAGGTCGTCTTAGTCACCCGGTCAGAACGTTTCTCTTCTTTAGTGAGCTTAGGTTCCCCAGCTTCCTGGAATGAGTGATGCTGCTTGGGGCAGGATCAAGACTCCTGTACCCGCCCTGGCCCACCTGCTCAGCTAGCGGCACCTCAGGATCTGTTCCCAGTCCGTACATTAAAACGCTTTATCACTATGGCCAGCTGCATGGATTTCTCTTCTCCGAATGCTCTGGGTCAGCTCCGTTCCTCGCACTGAGCCCGAAGGAAGGGGACAGGAGTGGGCAGGACCCTGGTCACTGTCTATACAGGGAGAGCTACTGGGCCTGTCCCTTCTGTGTCATAGGGTTGTTAGAAGGATCAAGGCATAAAGGGCAAGGCGCGTGATAAGCCACACATCATTATTCTTGTTTTCCTTCCGTTGCACCGTGAGTAGTCCCGGATCTCACCCACAGATCAAGTAGATGTCACAATGTGACCCTGGTGTGGGCCAGACACTGGGCTCGGCCTCAGCCCTCAGGAGACTTAATGTCTTGGTGGGCAGACTGGCATGTCAGCAGCTACCTGAGGAATACGTCAGCAGGTGGCTAGTGCCCTGGGAAGAGGTGCACTATGGGGTGTCAGGGCAAGGCATGATTAATTCCTGCTAAGGAATGAGAGGACTGGGCGTGGTGGTGCATGCCTGTAATCCCAGGATAAAATAGTTTAAAAAATTGGGGGGGGGGCGCGGGTACCGGAGATCGAACTAGGGACCTTGTGCTTTCAAGGCAGGTGGCGGAACCACTGAGCTAAATCCCTGGCCCCAGAATATTTTTCCTAAACCCTCCTCTCCACCTCCTCCCAGGCCCTGATAATCATTGATCCATTTTTATGTCACGGTGAATCTGCCTGTTCTAGACACTTCGTTCAAGTGGATTCATAGAAGCCTTGTGTGGTGTCACACACCCAGAATCCCAGCTCTTGGGGAGGCTGAGGCAGGAGGATTGCAGTGAATTCAAGGCCAATCTGAACTACATAGAACTGTATATATACAGTTCTATAAAACTTGTATAAAACAGTTGTATATATATAAAAAAAAGATGAATTATATGGTGTGTGAGTTACATCTCAATACGATGATAACCTCCAAACTGGGAAACACTGTTTGAGACGTGCTCATTATGTGTGCAGTGTGTCCAGAAACGTGGGAGAGCAGTCATCTCAGGAGACAAGATGTGGCTGAGGAGGGGGTCCCAGGGGCTTCAGCCCTAAGGTGGTGGAGGTGTCATGCTCATTGTGTTGGCCTTTAAACTTTTTTCTTTGGGGGTTAAAATTAATTTTAAAATTGGTACACTTTTGATATACATAACGATCACATTCATCATAGAGAATTTGTACCTATACATAAAATATCTAGAGGGCCGGGGATTTAGCTCAGTGGTTCTGCTGTCTGCCTCACAAGTGCAAGGTCCCAAGTTTGTTCCCTTACCAAAAACAAAAAAACAAATACAATGTATGAACCTTGGTTGGATTATGTCCATTTTTAAATGTTTCCTTGGTCTTCTGAGACAGGGCCTCACTGTGCAGTCCAGGCTGGCTGACCTTAAACTCACTATTTATCCTCGAATTTATGGTGATCCTCTTGCCTCAGCCTCCTGAGTGCTGGGATTATGGGCATGCACTACTGCACTCCGAATGTTTTTTTGATTGTTTTGTTTTGTTTTTGAGACAGGGTCTTGCTTTGTAGTTCAGGCTGGCTCTGAACTCACTATGTAGCCCAGGCTGGCCTCAAACTCAAGCGATCCTCCTGCCTCAGCCTCTCAAGGGCTGAGATTACAGGTGTGCGGCACTGCACCTGGCTCCGACATGTTGTTTATTTTTTTAACGTTTGCTAAACCATGGAAGCCTAAGTGGGTACTGGGTACTGCACGAGATCACAGAACCATTGTGGATTTCCTTACGTGTGGTAATTGTATATAAGTACCTAGGAGAATGACATTTTTAGGAGATTTTGGTTTTTGGTACCGGGGATCAAACTCTCCCTAGGAGATTGTTGATAAGGCTTTAAAAGGAATGAAATGATAATGTTTGCAACCGACTTTCAGATAGTTATCAAACACCTGCAATCCTATCACTTGGGAGGCTAAGGCAGAAAGATGGTAATGTTATGAGTTCAGAGACCAGCAAGTGTGAGGTAGCAGAGAGACTGTTAAAAAAAAATGCCAAGGGCCGGGGATTTAGCTCAGCGGTTTTGGCGCCTGCTGCGCAAGCGCAAGGACCTGAGTTCAATTCCTGGTCTGGTACTAAAAAAAAAAAAAAAAATGCCAGGTGTAGTACTGCATGCCTGTAATCCCAGTACTTGGGAGGCTGAGGCAGGAAGATCCACTGGAGTTTGGGGCCAGCCTGGGCTACACACAGAGTTCAAGACCAGCGTGGACTACATAGTGAGGCCCTGTCTCAAAAATAAATAAATACAATCAATTGATCAAATAAAATGCAACAGTCTGGTTCCTAAGGGAGCAGAGGCAGCAGGATCTCTTGATGAGACCTTAGGGATTTGAGAGGATTTGGATGCTAAATGCGACGGGTCTAGCAGAGTGGGAGAGACTGAGGAAAGACATTCTTCCGGTCGCATGAGCTATCCCTGGGGACAGACCCGGCAGAGGGACCGAGGTCCTTCAGGACCCGCTCTCCACCCCTTCGTCCTGCCGCCTGGCGCCCTATACGTACTCCTGGTGGTGACACCTAGCGGACGGCAAGAATGCTGCCCCGTTCCTCTGCCCACCCCGCAGGGCGGTTTCTGGCGCGGGACTCGAGGCACTCTGCGCCCACAGCCAGGGCTCGGGGACCGGTACAGACGCTCAGATCCTGGGTCTGCAGAGTCCGATCTGCGGGCTCGCTCGAGAGCTCTTGCTCGCTCCGAGGCCCAAGGTTGAGATCGCAGCTTCTCTGAGCCTGTGGCGTCTCCAGCCTCCCTGTCCCTCCCTCCGTCCCCCACCCTCAGCGACACAGAGGACACAGCCGGCAGGCGGTTCTTAGACTTTATCAGCTTTTTCTCCACCCAGGGGTGTCTGCAAGGACAAGGACAAGCGGGTCTCCACAACACGGGAGCGAGCTTCACGCGGCTTGAGCTTCGGGGCAGGACTGGGTGGCGGGGTTCAGGCGGGCTGAGGGCCTGGAGGGAGGAGGGGGCCTGCAGGTTGGGGGGCATCCGGGCGACGGGGGTGGGCGGGGCCCGGGGTCGCCCTTGCACATCTTTTACACCCACGGCCACGAGAGGGGACGGGCAATGAGAGGGACACCATAGAAAAGGGACTGTACACGTGACCTATGATACAGTGTTTACATATGATACAAGGCTCTTTCCCTCTTTTGAGTTTTAAAAAATAAATTTACAATTCCAGAGCTTTGGGTAAAAAATATATACACCCCAGAGCAGAAGTGGGAGCGGGAGCTGCATCGGCTGCCGCTGCCGCCGCTGCCCCTTCAGAAGGGAAAGGGGGGGTGCCAGGAAGAGGGGGGGCGGCACCCAGAAGCCTCACCCGGTAGCTGCCAGGGGCCCCTGCACCCCTCCATCCGCAGCCTGGGAAGGGAGACAGAGAGGTCCCCGGGGCTCTCCAGAGTCCAGTTTCACCTTCACAGTCTGCCCTGCTTCCCTAGTTTTGGGGGGCTGCCTGCCCCCCCCACCTCAGCACTGCAAGGAGGAGGAAGGGGAGCCAAAGGGGGAGAGGAACAAAGAGCTGTTGTCCGTGGTGTCAGACTCGGGATGACGATGCCCCCTCAGCAGAGAGACCTCAGGGAGCAGGGAAGTGGGGAGCAGGCACCCCGCCAACTGTAGAGCAGAGAGAGGGTCCGACAGGCAGCTGGGCCTGTGTTCCCTGAGCATACCCTCTCCTGGGAGCCCCAGGGAGGCTGGGGGTGGGGGCTCAAAGGGCTCACAGTGACCCTCAGGGGCCTGGGCCCACAGGCCTGGATGGGCAGGAAGTGGAGGCACCCAGGGGCCAGTGCAGACAAGGGTAGCACCAAACAGAAGGGACCCCTCCTTACACGCATGCGTGCGCGCACACACACATGCACCCACGGCAATGTTCGGAGGGCACAACATTGGGGCTCCAGCCCTGAACAGGGCCAGTGAGGGAGGCCAGACAGCTGAGGGAATGGGAATTCACTTTGGGAGCGGGAGGGCTGCTCCTTCCTGCCTGGGAGAGGAGGCTGGAAGCCCTCTCTGAACAGCGCTGGCTGGGAGAGCACAGAGGAATGAGCTGTTTGCCTCCTGTGGCTTGGGCTGAGAGGGCGTGGGGGAGAGGGCTCCAGTAGGATGATGAGGAGTCCCTCCCTAGAAGTCCATCCCACTCTTCCTCTGCTTGTGGGAAATGCCCAACATGGTGGTGGGACATGGTACAAAGTGCTTGAGTGCTGGGTCCCAGGACCCCCGTGCGGGCTGCCCCTCACTGGCTGTTGGCCTCTAGCTTGTAGGACAGCTCGAAGAGGAGGTTCTGGTTGTCGATGACCTGGAACTGTCGCACATAGGCCTTGGTCTGCAAATGGTGAGGCGAGGCCTCCATGTCCAGGCCTGGGGGGGGGGCAGAGGAGAGGCCGTGGGACAAGTGTCAGGCAGGGTGCCCCCAACCCGAATCCCCCCAGCTGTAGCCCCGGGGACTCACAGAGGGGCCGGCTGCGGTACTTGCGGATTGTCCTCACTTTCTCGGCCACTGAGTGCTGCAAGGCGACAGGAGACACCCCCCTGAGAAGGACCCAGGGCGTGCCCCCCCGTACCACACTCTGCTCTGCGCCCCCACTCTGGGGGGCTCTCTGAGAACGGGGGGCAGGGTACCAGGTGACAGCGAGGCAGCACTGGCCCCCCTGACTGTCAGCATGGCCACACATGGGGGTTGCCACCGAGGTGCCACCGGGAAGGCAGCGGGTAGGGTACCAGGCAAGCCGAGCACAGGGAGGCGATGGGAGGGGGCGGCTTGCCCCTCCCCAGAGACCCTGGGATTGGCAGCACCATACTCACCAGCTTCTCCACATTCACCAAGCCGTCCACCAGGGTCTTGCTGCCCTCATGCAGGAACGTCAGGTCTGGGGAGGGACAATCAGGCACCAGGACTTGCAGCGTCACAGGGGAGCCTGGAGCCCGGAGATGGGGGGGACAGCGCGTCCCGGGGGGAGGGACAGCGTGTCGGGGGGGGGGAGGGACTTGCTCACCTTTGAGGATCAGTGGCACGAAGGGGATCATGGGGGGCTTCATCTTGGAGATAACTTCCCGGTAGCTTTTGTGGTTCCGGCAGGGGTCCTAGGGTTCCATGGAAGAGGGGTCAAGGACACCCAGGCTCCAAGATGTCCCCACCCCTGCCCTGCCTGGACAGACAGGGTGGATGGTGTGTAGCTGGGAGGAGCTAAATGCTGCCCCTCCCTCCCCCTCCCTGCTTGGGAAGCGGGCGAGGGAAGCAGAAAGCCGGCAGGAACAGGGGTGCAAGACCCAGGGCCGAGGACAGGGGCAAACCCACTCACCGTCAGGTTCTCAAATTTGCGGAACAAGTTCTTGAATTTCCCTGGCAGCTTCTGCAGCATTCAGAGGAAGAAGAAGGCCATTAGAGCCGTTCTGAGCACCGGGCTGGCAATGCTCAGCATTAGAGGAGCAGAGGGGCAGGTCACCCCTGGAACCCCACCATCCCCACTGAGACTGGGATTCATGCTTTTTGTTTTGTTTTGGTACCGGGGATCAAACTCAGGACCCTGTGCTTGCAAGGCAGGCAGTGGAACCACTGAGCTAAATCCCTGGCCCTGTTTTGTTTTGTTTTTTGAGACAGCCTCGCTTATGCAGTTGGGGCTGGCCTCCAACTCCCGGCGATCTTCGTGCCTCAGCCTCCTGAGTGCTGGGATTACACCCGCCCGGCACCACGTCCGGCTTTTTTACTTTGCAGATCTGAGCAGAGCTGCGTGCTCTGGGCCTGTGCAGCCAGAAGACAGCGCTAGCCCACTCGGCGGCGGCGAAAGGACGCCGAGGACCTCGCGGCAGCCCAGGGAATGCAGCCAGCGCCACCCCCC